CGATATAAAATAAATTAAGATATAAAATGGTGATTTTTTAAAGAATATATCTGAATATAAAATGTTTTTTTATAGAATATGAGAGAGGCAGGAGACTCACCTGATGTTAAGTGATACCGCCGCTATGGACACTTTCAACGCCAGAGGGCTCGCGAATGCGTTGCTGGCCTTTTAAGAAATGGTACGATCTTTCCTTGAAGGACCTTAAGTAAAGTTGCACCGGAAATACTTCCGTGGGCAGCTCCACATGTGGCGCACGATAAAAACTGCCTTAGGTATATAAATAATTTTCAGTTGTGGTACGACGGACGTCGAGGTGATACAGGTGAAATTTCACCTCGACGTATAATGATGAAACTGAACACTCTCCATTGTAAATGCGGTAGATGATGCAGGGAGACCCCACATCTTTACGCAACGCCAAGGGATCAAGCCGCTTGGAAACTTGACTGCTCATTGATAATTCGAATCACTTTTCGCTGAATACGGTCAAATGGAAGGAGCTGGTACTAGGGAGAACTTGAAAGGGGGCAAATTTGCGCTTTACACAGCGATCGTCCGGAGTGAAGTAACCTGTAGTCTTGTTGAGCACACCAAGCATAATTTAGGCTTTCCTTCCAAATCCAGGTGCATAATTTCTCGGAGAGCCCGTTTCTTTTAGAGAAGCGCTTCAGCGCCGCAGCCGCAGCTGTAGCGCCTCCCCCTTGGACTCAATTGCTTCTGCCTATCTGTGAGTAAGGTATATAAGGAGGTCAACAGCGGAGCGACCACGGATTTTCAGAATACTTTAATAGATTTAAACTAAAATTCATTTATCTCGACTAAAATCGTAAACAAATACAAAAATGAATGATTCATTGTTTGTATCTAATGATTATCTTATCGATAATTGTTTTGCTTTATATATCAAATTATAGACTGTTGAAGAACCGGATTTTAATAAGTAGATAGTATAGCTAAAGTCCGGGTTATTTCTGTGGTTACCAGATTACTAAAAATAATTCTTAACCATTAATACTATTAAATAATTATTATTATAGAAAACAAATTGCAATAAAAAATGAATAATAATATTTATAATTCGTATTTGACTAGAAGTGTTACTCATGTTTATTTATTTACCTACAAGAGTATGAATTTTCTTGTATCCTAAAATTCTGGTTCTATCAGAATCAGGCCAATTGTTTGATACAAAAAATTACAAGTTTAAATGTTTGTATTATGAAATCAACCAGGTATTTTGAAATCGGTTAAACACGAACTAAAAGTTAGATCTAAAGTACGAAAGTCTAGATACTTCCAAGTTTAAATGTAATCAATGTATGTAAGCGTGGTGTGTAGTACATATTTTTTTCTAATGGGGTCACTGAAACATACGGCCATGGAAATGAATTACTTAGATTTATTTTGTGAACAAAGATCACTTGATCAAGTATTGTAATTTTAGCTGCATTCATCGTCTCGGTCGCATGGGCTCTCGAATTTCAATACGCTCTAGAGTCTAGACCTTAGTAGCTCGACAGTACTTATCTTAGAACCGGGTATCTATTTTTAGATACGGCTATATAATTTCAGCTATGAATATTAAGGAATTATACAACTTTTATAAAATCACTCGATTGCTGTTAAGCTTCCGAAACATCGTCTTAAAAGACAAAAGATAGTTGTAACATGGATTTATATTATGACTGTAAAATTATTACCACAATCGATTTTGAAGGCGAAGGTAAAAATAATTAAAGGTATTATTAAAATTCTAGCGTAATCGGTGATTATTTTTTACAGATTAATATATAAAAACGTACGTACTCCTAAATGATAAAAAACAGCGCCATCTTCTAACACACTCTTACTCGTGTTGCATATTAATTTGCCATGTTTGTAGTTAAGTGCCGGGTTCCTACTTAGTTTATAATACCTGCTACAGATAGCGCTTAACGCAAATCAACTGTGCTGGTAAAAATTTTATAATACAAATATATATATAAAATAGAACTTACATAGTACGTATACAGTAAGCTTCACAAATTTAATAAAACTAAAACTGTATTTGTTTTAGCGCCATCTACCGTATTACTGGTGAACTAGTTGAAGTATACAGTTGTGGTGAAATGAACTAAAGATGGCGACATTATTTTTTGTTTATGGTATAAAACTAATAGCAAGTATTTACTTAATTAATTTTTTTTTTCATTGTAGCTTGTATTCTAGGTCTAGGTATTGATGCGTAGTGATTGAAGGCAGGTATTTTAACTCTTTATATATATAGAATAGGTAATGGGTGTGTTTTCTATTGTGTTAAAACTAAACACATGCCGATTGAAGTTACCTTAGTATACTACTACTACAACTTCGAAATGCAATAAAACTATAAAAATTGTGTTTTATTTGAATTAGTTTTATAATATTAATGATTCTGATTGCAACCTTTTGCATATCAGTATTATATTTTGACTCCTTATCCTTAATTCAGACGAAGGAACTCTGTCATATCCAAAACACATTATATATGCGTCAAAATACCCTACCACCTTCGGGTTTTTTGAAGTCGTTTTAAAAACTGGACAGTCGCGCAGTTAATATTGACTCTCTGCGCAAGAGGTACTTAGTAATAGCTTTACCTTGTACATTAAAAAAACGTATCTTCACGGTATAACCCACCTTATAGTATAGACACCGTGACAGATCATTAATAAACAACTAAAGAGCACTCTGTCTCATTTCATAACACGGTGAACTTGCTGTGACAGAAAGAAATGGAAGAGACAATTTAATTAAAACAGCGAAAAATTTAATCGATATTTTATATGATTAAGGGTAAACTTCAGTGTTTCTATTAAATTATAAAATGTGGAGAGTATACATGTCATTAAAATTAAATTTCTATATATATCGGATAAATAAAATACTTAGTTTACATTCATGTATTTCTTTAATTTTCACATTTCATATCGCACGTTCAACAATATTTCTAGCGTACATTAAAAAACAATTTAGATAAAACTTATAATAATTTATAACAATCTAGTACGTATCTAAAAATGTATTGAAAACTCGTATTTTAATGGAAAATGTTATATCATATTTTCAATTCACAATAATTTCATTTAGATAATTTCTGTTTAAAAACGAATTCTGCAGAGCCGTACTCAAAGTCGTTAATTAATTTCTAATGCTAGATAAGTAATTATATATCTAAAGAACCATGCAACTTTATAATGTATGCTTAGTAGACGACTGATTAAAGAAAGCTAAGGAATAATTAAAGGGGAATGGGTAGGCCATGCCCACCCTAGCATGGTGTTCACTCCAGGATATCAGGTTACGAAAATTTATTAATGCAATTCCTTCAATTAAACTAAATTAGTATCATTAAATTTGAAAAGTCTCTTGATTTTTCGATAACTTGACTCTGAGTACGGCGGTTATACTAAAATCGTCTTTTAAAATAATCGACTATAAAATCACTTCACATGCATTTCCGTTTTGGATGTTAACTATGCGTATATATTTAATTTGAATTGAAATAACAAAAACATGTTATAACTGGTTTTATGTTAGTACATATTTAAAAATTGTGATGTTGGTTTGAAGTTTTATGTAAGCAAAAATCCTAGAAAAATCATAGTGTAAGACACAAATTTTGTACTCGTGTGACAATAATAGTACTAAATAAACCTAAGTTACAGCTACATTGAACAATAGTTTGGTTTTAGTATGAAAATAAGAAATAATTGGAGTTTAAAACTGGAGTAAAGAAAAAACACTTAACTATGTACATAAATAAATTTTAATTTTTACTCTACAATCACAGCAAATGCCTGAGAGTCATAAACTTAAATGCTATTAAAAAACTCTTGAAATTCATTTTATTCTCTAGGTTTCGTTAAGGCGGAGGCGAGATCGAATATTAACAAAAAAATGTAATCTACAATTAAATTTGTACAAATATTCTTCAAACTAAAATAATAATATTCTGTGTTGGCAATATATTGGCTAGAGGTAAAGATGCGCAAATTTGTTCTTTTTAATAGTAAAAGTATACATGCGCAAACTAAAACGCCAATTTTTTTCCAATCTACGTACAGATAATGATTTAAAATTACTATGTTTATTCACAGGAATTAGCTCTCGCCTCTACCTTAAATAAAAACCATAAACCGAGCACAATTTGTTCACTACGACATAATCTTTGGCCTACAGATCTTTTCATTTGTCATTTTTTTATTGCACATTCGCGCCATTTCTTATTATCTATTTAAAATTAAAACCTAAACTAACACTGAGAGACATGTCTTAAATATAAAAAATAAGAATCGAAAAATTTAAGTACATTCAACAACATTCACGATATGGCAACACAAATTACGAAAATTCTTAATTTCAATAAAATATATAAATAATTTTGAATTAAGTTCTATAAATAAAAATGGAATGTCTTTATTTAAAACGAGTATATACACCTTTATGTGCCGTAGTCCATTACTTTATCTTAACATTACATCAACAACGGTAATTATTGAAACCTTAAAAATTCTTTATCAAAAATTCGTAGCTCTGAAAAATCGCTATGACAAAAGTGTGTACATCATCAGAAAATACACTTAACCACTTAAAAAAATAATATGGACTTCAACAATTGGTTTTACAACCTTTAATTGACGGAACTAACATTTAACAATCTCTGTTCGAAATACAACCATTGAAACTTTACCAAACCTTACATTGAGCTTATATGAGCCTTTCAAACATGCTTCATACTTAATTATCACCTCCTCTTTATCCTAATACTTTAGTCTATCATTATTCCATTAAAAACAACAAAGCTCTCGAACAATTCTCATTTCATAACCAAACCCATCTTTACTCATTTCTTTATCCAGAATTTAAACGAATTTTTTATTCAAGAATTGTACAAGAGCGTACATAACATCAAAACAATCTCTTCTTCCTCTGAGCATGAGTTTCTTAACCGAAATATTAATTTCACTTCGACTTAACTAAGAGTTTGAGTAATTCATATCATGAACATCTAATTCAGACTTCACTTTAATAAAATTTGGATTATCAGTCCTGAAGTCTGGACCCTTGTGGCCGAATTGGTAGACGAGGCGTGCAGTGGGCACGGAAACCAGAACCGATTGCCGATAGTGGTATCTCATTGCCCTACTGAACTTCTCGAAGGTCATGTTCTCGTTCTGTTTCATCTGTCCCCAAAGTTTTGCGACTTCGTCTGGTTTCACGAACCTGCAAAGAAGAAAATACAACGTTAGGTAATTCCCCTGCAAAGACTTAAATTATATTCTTCCGTTTATTTTCTTATCAATAATTACTGTGATTCTAACTAGACAGCAATTATAATAATCAAAGTTGGTATAATTTTGCTTTCAGATACTTTTTTAATTCAAGGTTTTTAACTTGGCAAGGTCAAAATGATGAGACGCACGCGACAATTGATTGGTTATCAGAAATTAGAATACAATAAGACATAATGCTTTCAACATTGAAAAATGAAGGAAGCGCGTTGCACAATAACTCTATAAAAAGACACTATGAGAAATCGAATAGTATTTTTGTATCACGATCTTTATTTCGATGTTATTATTAAACCAGAGACATAAAATGGATTTTCCGTAAGTCGATTATTTAAATTAAATTAAAATTTATCCCTTGGATTCAGAACGCACATAAAATAAATAAAATCAATATTATCGAAGCTAGCTTTAAAATAGCAATAAGTAACCTATTTACAAAGATAAAATCATAAGCAAGTCAAGTTCGACTAGCATCCAATACGGCCTTGCATATAATTTGCAGCTCATTAAATGGATTCTCAGTCTGCATAAGGTATCTGATATATAATGGGTGTAGGTATAGAAACGAGTAATGATGCAAAATGTCCAGCTAATTGTGATCGGAGTCAAGGTCAACTTGTTGCAGTCATTATCAGCTTTGCTGGCAACGTGACGAAGCGCGAACGTGCAACTCAACATATAGATGCTACATTACCTAAGACAACTTTAATTGTTTAACAACATATACTACATAGTATTGTTATACTCGATAATAACACTGTTTTAGTTTAAAATGCAAAGGCAAATGGATGCATGTTCTAATAATATGTAACATTAAACCAAATATTGTTAGTTCCCTTTAGACTTAAGACTTTTGCGCCGTAGCGTTCAAATGCCCGGACGCTAATTAAAGATTGAAATTAACGCCTGGTAGACAGTACCGGTGACCCCAAAGCTGGTGCTTTAGTGTTATCAGGTACACTGCCAGAGGTACCAAACTTATGAATGTATTTTAGTGTTTTTTTATTTATCCTTAGGTTAAGATTATACTAAATATCGTAAAAATATATAGTAATAAAGGCTTAATATCATATTGACCTATTATTGTATATTTATTTTGTGCAAATAGGTTATTGTTATACGAGAAACATTGTTTATCCACACTTCAACGCAAGCATGAACATCAGTTTAATTTACGCGCCAGTAAAGTGTTGACCTTGTCTCGGAGCAAATAAAAACCTCAGACAAGGATGAATTCAACTCAAATAAATAAGACAACGATAAAGAATTTAATAATATCAATAAAATTATAGAATGGATTTAAAAGGATGTATTTAATGTAACAGGTTTAACCAAAACAAATATAAACCTTACAAGGGCAAATATGAAAATCAATAAATTGTATAGCTAAACTTGATAACATTGATAAACTCGTATCAAAAATGTCAAAGCTAGAAGCACTAAATGCAATTGAGGTTGTTGATAAGAAAATAACGATCTAACATTGAAAAGGTGTGTCTAAGGTGTATAGTGGTAAGTTTATTGATCATAAAATTTGTTGCTCATCGCATCTTTTGACATTGGATTCTTCTTGTTTACTTCATAATTACATTAATGAGGTTAGAAACTGTTGTCTGTATGTACTTGTTTTTATGGAAATACTAAAATTTTTCTTTACGTAAATTTTAAAACATTACGTCATTTTAAATGACTATGGCCATTGAAATCATAAAGTAATGTTATCTGTTGCTTTTTCCTAAATCATTTTAACACGACAGTATATTATTTGAGTTTTAATTTTCAATCGCTTCCAAGCCACGTAATTATGTCGAATTAGATTATAATAAAGGTATTTTAATTAGTTCTGTGTTGTATGAGACTCTATAGTCTATTGTTAGTCGTCATGGACATATACAGATTATTATTACTGTCATCGCTATTGACACTTTAGCTTATTTACTATTCAATGAGTGTATTTAATCTAGATTTCTTGGTAAGCCAGTGTTAGTGTCGATGAGTAATTTTAAATTGTATTTTTGGTTCTGGGTTCCTATTTGTTTTATTGTATTATTAAATATATTGTCACAACAAATACGATTCAAAAACTAGTACCCCTCAAGAATCCATACAACCAAATCTTTGTGGCGTTTGATACTAAAGTATAAAGGAGAAAGATATGTAAAGAGTTGGAATCTTTTTAACCCAAATCTTGGTTTAACGGTTTGGATATCTGCCACATGGACAGTGTACAGCAGGATGCCGGTCACGTTTCGTTCCTTGGCCCAGCTGATGGTACGATATATTGCAAGGCCGGACCTCGACCTCGCACGAGCGCGGCCAGCATCCAAATTTGTATGAGTCACAATGAGTTATGTGACAGTCCTTACTATCTTAATATACTGTAATAATAAAAGTGTCGTGCGACTATTAGTCTACCGATAAAAAGACTATCCAACATAATATAGTTCCAAAGATTAGCGCGGTCAATCAAACAAACAGACTCAACATATGCTGAAAATATAGCTTTATTAAAGATTTAATACACTATTAATACAGTTACTATAATATATTCTATGGCAGATCTTTGTATAAAAAAAGATGTAAGTATTCTGGAAGTCCTGGTTTTGATTGCCATACAATATTTCTTTCGTATTTTACAGTTGAAAATTAAACCTAAACAAGGGGGATGGTTTATGGACTCAATTACGATGCCATTAGCAACAACCTGTTTATTAAAGAAACCTAAATAAACGCACTAGTATTCTGACAATAAATGTTTAAGCATAGAAATATATTACCATAAATAGTTGCATGCAAATGACGTCATTGAGTTTAATTTATGCTTGAACTTGAAAACGTAATAAAATCTTTATAAGCAAATAATTTTCTTTTATGAAATCTCGATATTTAACCTTCGCTTAAGTTATTCTTCGTATTGCATTATTTATTTGATACTCAGAAGTAGCGGAGTACCTTTAGTAAACGAACAGGCGCAAGTTTCGTAAAACTACTGCACGTGAGTATACTCCGTCATGGATCACAAGACTAGTGGTTCACATATGTTCTATGGACTGTGATGGGACCAAAACTTAATATTCTATTCCCAATTAAAATAAAATTATCGTATTTCACCAGTCCCAATAGAGATTAGCCGCCATGGCCGAATCAGCCTGGACAACATAATTAAAACACAGTCTTAAGAATATTCACAGATTGTATAATTTAGCGATAAGTTTTTATAAATACTTTAGGCCTTATGCTGCTCTACCGGGGACTATCACAATACAGAGCACAGTCTCACCTCAGCCAAGTGTGGGTGACCTTATGATATCGTTCTTTATCGTAAAAACAAATGATTGGGTTTTTAGGGTTTTACTGGGTTTTTAAGACCGCCTTTCTCTTTTAAACGCGGTGTACTGTATAATACTAAGTAGTATACGGTTTGCTTTGTTGCCCTATGAATCGGTAATGTACCACCTTATTGCTCACACGTATGAATACACTCGCTCATTTGTATTCCCGTCCTGTGCTTACGTGACAACATTGGTATAAACATGTTTTGCAATTTTTAGGGTTTCTTTCGCATACGATTTCTCAAACCGTTTTAACTCGGATTTTTTCAAAACCATAATTATTCGTCGTTAATAAAACAGGTCCAGGGGGGTGAGAATGTAGAACGATAGACTAAAAGATGGCGCCGTTCGTAAGATTGTTATTGGTCAACAGCTACTACTACAACTACTCCAATAAGCATACGACACAACTTGTTGAACGCAACGTTTTATCTTGCATCTTTTATTTTACATTCTCACCCCCTAGGCCGTCTAAACCCTATCAGGTCCAAGGCTTCTTGCAAATATATTTTTGAAGAACGCTTATAGCTTTTGGAAATACTATTAATTCGCAACCCGTCCCTCCATATAACTAGCGAGTACCTGAGAATTGTAATCAAGTAAAATTTAGCCCACGATTTTGCTAAGAGTCTCAAAATGATCACGGAAAAACATGCAGGCATACTGGTTTAGTTTATGTTTTTCTTAAGAAATCTGTCAAGTAAAAACTGTGTTCAAATCTTTCCGATCCATTTCGCGGTCAAGGGATCGCAACTGTTGATGCGTAATGAAAATACAAATTATTTACTTCTTTAAGTGACATTACGTTGACAATTCTTGCTTTGAAGGTTAACGACACAAATTTATTTCGCAAAATTCTTAGTCACCTTTACGTCAATGAGATATATTTGAGGTTATATGCAAAGGGTTTTATTTCGGCATTGTATTTGTTTTGTCGTCCTACACTTCTCCCTAAATGGACAAGTTTCTTGCTTCATAATTTAATATTACGTAATGCGCGTCCTTTTTTAGAATATTTCGATGGATTACAAAATTATAGTGTAAAAATAAAGGACCCAAACCCTTGGTTTTTTTAATTGACTGCAGTATTTTAGTTCGCATGGTCCATTGAATGACTGTCGGTATAAATAGGTGAATTTATATAATTATTATATAATAATTAAACATTCATAAATAATTATTGGTTTCCTGTCAACTTCCCTCACCTTTCTTCATATAAAGTTTATTGGAATAACATTGGATTTGATTTTGACGAATCTGTAATGCTTTATTTTACTAATTTAGTAATCGCTAATTCGTTTAAATTAAACCGTTTCGTAATATTCGCTAGTCGGGTCCTATCAGCCGGTTCTGACCGCATAATGTCAAAGACAAACGTTATCTTTCATCTTGTGTAAGAATTTATTATCCATGATACGTTACTCTCTTGGTCCGGGCTAAGTAATTATTTCTTTTGCTGAATTCATCTACCAGTAGGTCGCTACATTTATATATGAAATATTTCTTTTTGCCTCCTATAATTACACTAAATTGATTTCCCGAGAATTTAAAACACAAACCATTACAGATCTGCGCAGTCCTTAAAAAGTAGGTACGAATTAAGCAAATGTATGTAAATTTGCTTTTTCACAACATTAAAAGTGATATAAACGTCGTTAAATTATAATTTATAATCATAATTATAAGCTAATAAACAATATTTTCAAGAACAATTTATATTATCATAATGAGTAAAAGTTACCTAAATCTTTAATTTAAAATGTCTTTAATTTTGACTTGTCCTCGAAATTAATATGGTTTTATTATTTAAACCAAGTGCTTTGCGAAGTCAGAAACAGGTCTTGCATACCAACTTATTAACATATATGAGTAAGATACCTGCGGGGGAGCACCGGTTATTTTAAATATGCAAATTATGCGCTTAATGTTGCTAGGGTTCATAGTGAATCCCCGTATTCTAGTTTAAATGGTACTATGATAAGTTCGCACTCAGGGTCACCAAATTAATTATCTAAAAGTTAATATCTCTAAGAAACTGATTTATGATATTTATATTGTTTTTATAGCGAACTTATTTGTATTTATTTTACATTTTTATAAATTTTGGTTACCGTTAAGTTTAGGAACAGTTTGTGTTAGTTGTTTCAGCGTCGAATTTCATCCGTGAAGTCGTTAGTTCGATCCCCGCTGTGCACCAATGGACTTTTTGTCTATGTGCGCATTTATCTCGCTCGTACGGTAAATGAAAATATCGTGACGAAACCGGCATGCCTTAGACAGACAGAGTCAACAGCGTGTTGTCAATCACCGACTTGACTAAGAAAAATAAATGATCAAGACACAAATACACAAATATGAGACCCAGACCTGAAAGGTTGTAGTGCCACTGGTATTTATTAAGTGTTAAAGACATTACTAAAGTCCGGCGAAACGAACTTTAGCTGTTAGGATCGATCTTTTTGTTGTACGGTTTTGATAATTCGCTGTTTTCTTATTCACATCCGCTTTTCTAAATCGTGGAAATTAATTTTAAATGACATTGAGTTCCACTAAGGATTTCATTCATAATCTTTATCAGCTACGTATCTACTTGTTATTGATAAGTAATTTTATCTATTTGGATTGATAATTTTAAATATTTCATGAATTGAATTCATGTAATAAAATGTCTCTTGTTTCCTAAATCCTAATATGTATTTCGTGCATGTTAATTTAATTAACTAAATAAGCTGTATCGCTAGGAATTATAATGTAATTAATAATAAAGATTATTTTCTAAGGGATTTTACGTAGAAAGGGATCTTTTGTAGAAATATATATAGAAATAAAGTCGAGTCCAGTTTTTGCGATAATTCAACCATAATTCTTCATTCAATTATCTAGTTTCTCTACTAGACTGATTAGTAGATTTAATATCTAGTTATACTGAATTGAATTTATATTTATTGAATATGTGTTACATTGCCCTAAACAGATATCACAGAGTTTGTAGGTATATTTTGTTTAAAACATTCTTAATCAATATGTCATAATAAATATATTTGTCTTTGATTAACATAACTTTTATTCATTTAATAAAACACTATTTTGACCGGATTGAAGTTATGTATTATTATAAATTTACAACTATTTAACATAATTTTAAATTTATCCGACGTGCGTGGTCACGGTGGCACGCTGTAAAGCACGCGAAACGTCGGATAAATTTAAAATTATGTTAAATAGTTGTAAATTTATAATAATACATAACTTCAATCCGGTCAAAATAGTGTTTTATTAAATAAATATATTTATTGAATTATTCATTGGCTAGAAAATCTAGACTAAACAATTTATGCTCTTAACGTGGCGTGCCGTGTCAAACATAGAGAATAATCTGATTGTGTCAAATAATCGAATGTCAATATCTGATCGATTGCGCGCGAATAAATCACGCTACGTTTTTCTCACGTTTTCCTCATACTGTCCCGCTCGCACAGTATGACTGGTAACTAAAACGATTCGCGTAATTGCAACGCTATTTTTATTCTAAAGGTCGCGACTCGCTATACGATAAAGCGATAGGTCAGCTGCTAAGGTAATTAAGAGATGTGTGAATAGTATATGGAGACGTGGCGTTCAAGCGCTAAAATGATTTAGGAATACATTTGGCTTATCTGATATTTTTCAGAGCCAAGTTCAATGCTAAATTGCACCTTAAAGACTCATAATTTTACGCCGCACACCGGTTTTTATTGTCTGTATAATTTTTTCATAAAATATAATTTTCATTATCTCAACTTCACAATGCGCCCGCGTCGCTTCTTGCGCGGCGCGTGTGTCGGACTTGTTATTTCTGGTCATTGTTAGTTCAGTAAATTAACACTTTACATTTAAACAAGGTAATACAAATATTCATATAATACCTAATAGAAATTCATATAAAATTTTAAGTAAAACATTTTTTTTATCAGTTACATTTTTTCCACTTTTATTAAATTACTACTCATCTCTTATAAATGTTATAAAAAATGTATTAAACTATTTTATATAAGCTGTGGGAACAAATTTCGTATAAGAATTATTTACGTCTAATGTCTATGGTCTACGTGAGTACTTATATGAAAACGTTTAATTACCAATTTAACCACGGTTAATTCGTGGTACATGACGAGGGTTTTTCGACAGATTAAAAGCATTCGAAACTTCATTAAATGTAATAAATTTAGCTTTAAATATGTTTTATTTTAATAGTAAATATGAATTATGTTACATTTTGGACAGTTATTATACTAATTTGAAAACCAAATGCGTCAATGTTGTCATTTAAAAAATTATATTATTATGTTAGTCATTCCATTCGGACCGATTTCTACACACATCGCGCGTCATTGCCTCGATTATATGCGAATGTGTGTGGGAAATTGTACATGTGTGCGAATCGACCAAGGGAAATCCCGCGTTGCAAATTGTTTTATCACTCTATTTTCAGTTCTTTGAAGCGGTATGATCTGAATAGTTTCGCCACTTATTCGATGTTATCTCAAAACATAAGCGTATTCTAATTCTGAGTTAATTCAACTATATATATTAAGTATTTAGAAATATGATAGAGCCGGAATGGTACATGTTTGATACATTATTTTTTAAGTAAATATATTGCGGTTTATCAGAGTCGTTCATTGAGATATTACTTACGCCAAATTTACCAGAGTAAAACTCGATTTGTCAATGTTACTATCTTTTTAGTTGTTTCATATTTATGACAAATGCAACTTAAAGCTGACTTGGGCTAATTTATCGTTAAAATGATCGTGTTTTGTTTGTTGCTTCATTTTCTTCCTTTCACTCCCACAGAGCTATTGATCTTCTTATGGTACACATACAGCCATGGTAAACTATTAGAGGACTGTAAAGAAATATTTATAACCGGAAAAAATATATTTTTATGTATGTTGAAAATCGTTTAGCATTTAGCATAAAAATATTCAAATTATCTTATTAAATATTTTTATGACGGTTCGCAGATTACTAAATCGTGGGATGATTGATAGTTTGTATCATAGATTATAAACTGATATGACACACCAGATGTAGCAATTAATTTAACATACAGATGATACAAAAAAACGATAATTCGTAGGAATTCCTGTTTCGCAATACTACTTTGGAGAGGTGGATGTCAATTTAAGCAATGATGAATAAAATATATTTATTTGAAGGATGTCGGTTATAAAATATTTGCATGAGGTTTTATATCAGACTAATTTATATTTATATCACGTGAGGCAATAAGGCGTTACCCTATCATTTAAGTGGTTTTATAATGCAATGAAGAAATAATGACATGACACATATTTAAGAAATAACAAGACTAAGGTCTAAAATATAAACTTCGGCTTTTTTTATTATTAAAGGTCCAAACCGCGAAAGAATAACAGGTCTCCCTGTCCTTTGCGTTATGAGTATCACCAAAACCCAAGGTTCATGCCAAAACCGGCTTTATAATGCCAGCTCTACATTTTTAAATCTTATTCGGTCTACGTCACCTACACGTGTCATGTTTTTTGTAGAATTAAATAATCGTAGATAATTATTTTTTGTTTATGTTTTTGTCACATGTATTCGATCTGTGACTGTTTAGTTTATTTTCTATTATTATTGTTGTTTACGTGCGTTTATT